CAATCAGGTCCTGCCAAGTGTCCCCCATTTGGAACTGTCAGGGCTTGCCACGTGGCACACGCTTATTCGTCCACCTTGGACCTATTATGTCACGACACGTGGCATCCTCCATGCCTAATGGGGAAATCGGCCACCGAGGCCCAACTTCCAAGGGAAGCCCAATCAACCCTAGGTTAACCTAAACCTAGGATTAGCACGTTTCCCAAGGTTATAAATACCTCCCTTAATCCTCATTAAGGGAGATTACGCACATTAAACACTCTCACCTAGAGAGACCCAATCACTTTAATTTCCGCATTAATTACTCCTTAAGCAAGTACTAACTTGACCGTCGGAGGCGGATCTCCAATCATCCGGAGCATCCGTTTGTTTTGCAGGTACATGCGTCCGGTTCCAGTCTCGGAATTGCAACTCTCCCGCAGGACATCTGAAAACCCCGAAACAGATATCATATTGATTTCCACGGGATTAAATGTGTTAGACTGTTATGTTTATAGGATATAGCCCCAAAGAATGTGCTTAATTCTCATAATTATTTATTGCCATATTTTTCTATTGTGAGGCATAAATACTCTTTTTAACCCATTGTCACTGATTCTATGATAGACATTTAATTTTAAAGTTTATGAGATTTCTTCGAGATTTACTTGAATTTAAAGCATTATTGATTATTAATTTTGTTTCATTTGGAAGCACTATACAAGCCTTTCCAGATCCTTCGATTAATTTAGCTGACTCAAAAATAATGTTTACACTACTGGCCTGACACAAATTTAGTTGTAAAAAATATTTTCTATCCTTCAAAATAGTACATGTTGTTCCACAGTCGAAAAGACATTGATATTCAGAACCAACTTCAGGCAGATCATTATCTTCATAATATAATAAGTATGAGATTAGTTTAGAATAATTTCATACAGACTCTATTGATGATAGAAATTAAAAGTACAAGACTAGAAACTTAAAGTAATGTACAAAAAAAAAAACATTAAGGCATAATACATATCACATTAGTAGATAGGGAATCCAAGCATTGTTTATTTCTCCAAAAAAAAATAATTTTCAATTTCTATGACAAAGAGTATTTTTTTCATTAACATAATTTGCTTAAGCATTTTTCCCTTTGCCTTTTATAGAAGCTTGGTAAAGATTTACCAAATTCTTGGTCATGCTACAAGTACACCAATGCCCTATAAGCCACATCTGTAATATGTGTCTTTTCCTTTTGAAGGGTTTGTTTGTGGCTTCTAGATGACTGCTATCCCTTCTATTTTTTAGAATTTTTTTAGAAAAATGTTTCTTTGAAAATTTTTCTATCACTTCCACAGCCTCGTTCGCGATAAATTCCATGACCTAATCCACGTCCATTGTAATTTTCACGTTCACCTCTATGTGTAGCAATTGCCTCAGGTGGATAAAAATTTGTTGTTGCATTTTCCTTGTGAGTGGCCAAAGACCCAATTGGTCTAAGATTATGATTTTTCAACAAAAAATCTTTATATAGTTCAACAACAAGCTATGCAAATACACCCATCCATTCATTAAACTTTTTTAAACCTCTATCATGATATTATTCTTGCAATAGTATGTTGCTTGCATGTAGGGATGACAGGTGGGTATTAAAATGCAGGTCCCGCACCGCATCAGCCCCCAGTTGGAGCGGGTATGGGTCCAACTTTGGCAGGTAAGAAGGCGGGTATGGGTACAAAAGTCTTACCCACCGTGGGTAGGAGGTAGGTGGTGGATTTAATGCCATACCCACCTATAAAACGTCTACCCACCCAACTACCCACCTATCCACCTAATTACTCGCCTCCCTGCGAAGTTACCTGCCAACTTATTACTACTTTTATTTTTATTTTTTATCACAAATTGATTACTATCTTGTATAATATGCTATTAAATTTTGTATTTACAACAATTTAAATATGGAAAATATGACATTTAAGAAAATTCATAAAACAAATGTTGTTAGGTTAGCGGGCGATCGTGGATATTCACATGGGTGGTGGATCAAGGTTTCTATCCGCGTAGGCGAGTGAGGGTGTTAAAATTTTACCCACCGCGGCTAGCGGATAGGTGGCGAGTATAATAAATTTTAGCGGATGCGGGTATGGGGGAGGGGGTACCCGCACCCTCACCGCCCAATTGTCATCCCTACTTGCATGAAAGGTTATCATTTGTTCATCGATGACTTGATGACCACAATATCTCAATATAGCTAGATGCTATTTCATGTATGGCTGAATTGTAATCGATTTCAAATTTGAAATCCTAGAACTGTAAATTTGTTCAGTCAAATAGTGCCTTAGGGAACTCATTTGTGGTATCCAAATTTTTCATTAAGGCAATCCCATAATTCTTTGGTATCTTCAACCATTATGTACTCGATTTTCTGGCTTTCATGAAAATGATACCTTAGCAACACTAAGGCTTTTGCCTTTTCTTGTTCAGTTACATGTTTTATAATCGTCATTACATAAGTGGTAGTATTGGTTGCTTAAATAGAAGGATTTTTTCTTTACAAGAAACTAGAGGGACTTTATTATCTTTAAAAGTGTGCTCCTACTCTTGAGCTTTTAAATTCATCATTACATCTACTTTCTATTCCAAAAATTTCTTTTCGAATAAATGTAGGATGTTGAACTATAATTTCATAAGGTCTCCCATTTTAACTACAACAAATTATGTAATAATTAGTTTATAATAATAAATCATATATACAACACATATGTTTAATTCTTCCATTATTATACTACCTCTGGTTCATATTACTCGCAACAAAGGGGTATTATTTGTGAGACATAAAATATTCCTTTGTTGCGAGTAATAAGAATCGGAAATAGTAGTTAGGTTGATGAAACAAGTGATAATTGAAATTATTTAACTATAATAAACCATAAATAATATAGTTCTTTTCTCCCCCTTGGTTTATTATTGTGAGTAAATATATAATTAAGGAAAAATGAATCATGTTAGTCGTAAAAACAACAAAACGACAACATCAGCAACAATAATTATAATAATAACGATATTATACAGTGATGATTAATAACAATTTAATAAAACAAAAACAAGCTTATAATCTACGGAAACAACAAAATAAACAAGCTTCACTTGTGTATAATGACAAAATTTAATACTACTACTTACAAAACTATTCGCGCCACAATTAGAAATAAATATTGTCTTATTTTCCTTAAATCTTCTAAAAAAGTGAAGATTTGAGTGTTTTGGTTGCCGTCAACGGAAAACATATTGATCGGAGAAGAAGGTTTTGAAATTATTTGGGTGATTTTTGGATAAAAGTGGGAAGAGTTAAGGAATTTGTGGTGACATCGATCGAGAGAAAAATCTGACTTTTATAGAGGTAGGTTTATCCGTAACTATTTTGTACAAATGTAAAAATATCATATAATAGTCTAATGTAATGGCAAAAATTATGGTCCAAATACAAATTTTTATAATTGTAAAAGGTTATCACACTAAGAATAAGAGATCTTTATTTTTAAAAGATTATGGGTTTGAAGAAAAAAATAAACGCAGAAAGTCTTTAAAAAAAGAAAAATAAGAAATATGAAACGCTTCATATTTTTGTCAATTATAGTTAATATGCATACAAAGTTAACGTAGGTTACTACTGTGCAATCATATAACTAAAACCAAATTTTACGTGTGTACATAATATCAACATGAATTGAACAAAAACAGAGAAGAATAGTAACAATATCATAAGGAAGATAATTTTACCTAGAGCTGTTAATTCAGGTAAAAGGGTCGGGTTTGAGTCGGGTTAGTGTGAGTCGGGTCATCTCGGGTCGGTTCAATATGGGTTAATGTCATAACATATGCGGGTCGGGTTCGGGTTGAGTCATACTTGAGTCGGGTCACGTCGGGTCATACATCTTATCGGGTTTGGGTCAGGTTAAGGTCGGGTTAGTAAAAGGTCGGGTTACATTCGGGGCGGGTGAAAAATAGGTCGGGTTAAATTCTGGTCTTTACGGGTTTAAACGAGTTAGGGTCGTTCTCGGGTTCGAGTCGGGTTCATTTTAAGTCAATTATTTACGGGTTATAATCAGGTCGGGTCATTCTCGGGTTCATGTCGGGTTCGGTTCAAGTCCATAATTTGCGGGTTATAATCAAGTCGGGTCATTTCTAAGTCGGATCATTATCAGGTTTGAGTCAAGTCAATAATTTGCGAAAAACATGTTTCGTCACTGAAATTCGTCCCTAAAAACATGTTGTGAAATTAACCTCTTAAATTCAAAGTGAAACATTGAAGGAATAGAGTTAGGATTCAATTTCCGTTACAATACCAATATGAGATAACGACCTATACATATTGATTCAATAACAAGTCAGGTTGAATTTGGGTCGGGTCAATAACAAGTCGGGTTGATTCGGGTCGGGTTTGTAACAGGTCGGGTTGAATTTCGAGTTGAGTTTGTAGCAGGTCGGGTTAAATTCGGTTCGGGTTGGATTCGGGTTAGTTTAGGAACAGGTCAGGTTAAATTCGGGTTTTAACGGGTTAAAACGGGTGTGGGTCAATTTCGGTTCAGGTCAATAATTTATGGGTTACATTCGGGTCGGGTCGTCTCTAGGTCGGTTAATGTTCGAGTTTGGGTCTAAAGTACTCGGGTCAACTCGGGTCTAGGGTTGGTTTCAGGTCGGGTTAGGTCGGGTTGGGTCACCATTTGTTTCGGGTTTAGACGGGTCGGTATTTCGGGTCGGGTCAGCTTTTGACAGCTCTAATTTTACCATTGTTTTTGAGGTAAAATTTGCACAATATATAATACAGTAAATATTTGAGTTTCTGGTATAGAGGATCCCAAATATGGAAAACTGTAGAACATATTCCTCAAAACATTTAGAAGTAGATAGTATTATTTGTTATAAATTTTGAGAAGTATGTATAAATGTACCTGACTAGAAATCCGTGCTGATAACCGTGATGATAACGTGCTAAAAACTTTTACGGATAGAAAGTTTTAAGCAGCAACAAAAAAAGTGAAAGAAGATGGGGTGTAAATGTGTAGTGTGCTACTATGTAAAACTCTCATTATATAGCCAAAGTTTTACAATAAAATATAGGAATAATACACATTATTAATTCTAATTATGGCTGATTTACTTTTAATAAGCCCAACTATGGTTTATTATCTAATAATCCTAAATATTGGGTGTGTTTTCCAAGAATAGTCTTAGTTGACTGGGAACTGGTTAAAGAAGTTAAATTTTTTTTTTTTTTTTTTTTTTGATGATGATGTAGCATTGTTGACTTGGAAAAACCTTAGGTTAACTTGTCTTATCCTAAAAATTAAAATTTGCCACATCACTCACTCAACTACTCTCTGGTAAAAATTGAAGCCCGCCATAATTGCTTCCTCTCTTCCATTAAATCATCTCATGCAACAACTGGGTTTCCACTTGTGGGAAAGAAAAGGAGTGACGGTGAAGGAAGTAGTTGAAGATGCCATTGTAGCACAGACGAAGCTAAATTGCGTGCACCAGGTAAACCCTAAATCCTTTAAATTTGGGATTTTCATCGTTTTTTTTTTGTGTTAATTAATCATGTAAATGGTATTTGTAACCTAGAATTATGGTTGAATTGTGTGAATTGGGTCTGTGTTTTACGATTTAATTTGAAATTCATAAATTTCATTTCTCGAATTTCTGGTTTTAGTTTTTCTTGATTGGATATTGATTCTCACTTTTACTAGGTCATAACATGGTTGTAGATTTGTAATTGTTGTTTTGTTTGCATTTAGACTATAGGTTGCAATGGATAATACGATAAATTTGAAATTTTGGCATAGTGGGTTGTTCAAATTCATTAATAATGGTGATTTGGTGTACGAGGGAGGTGTTGGCAAAACTAAAGCCATTGATCTAGATTTAGTTAATTTCTTTGACCTTGTTAAGTTAGCCAAGGAGGTTAGTGGGGATAAAGAAGTGAAAGGTATTTTGTTCTTGGTTCCTGGGCTTAGTATGGTGAATGGATTGAGGAAGTTGGAGGGTAATGAAGATGCTTTGGAGGTAGCAGCTTTAGGTGTTAAGTATAGATTTGTAGAGCTATATTTTTTTTTATAACAGGGAGCAAAGCTCAAAACTCATTAATTAATAAGAGAATCCATGAGTACATAGGGAGACACTTCCAAAGGGATACAATTCTCCCAAATTTTCTCTACATTGAAAGGAATAAAACGTGTAAGATTATGAGCCACTTCATTTCCTTCACGTTGCACATGGGACCAGTAGACTTGCTCAAAGGAAGTGCTTCATTACATCCCCAAGGGCAGCATCTAGTCTGTCAAGTGAGAATCTCCCTTTGTTAATCGGCTGGTGACTACCTGACAGTCTAATTTTATGATAATCTTCATGCATCCAAAGTTACTGCCCAACTTCAAAGCTAATATAATGGGCTTAGCTTATGCAATTTCAATTTGCCACCATGCCTTCCAGTGTTTACAAGCTGAGAACAAAACCTTGTCAAGGTTGTCTCGTGCTACAACACCCACTCCTACCCATCCTTCCTCTGTCAGAGTAGCATCAATATTAATTTTCACCCAATCGGCAGGAGGTGCCACCCAGGTATTCCAGCTGCTCTTCTAACCAGCAACAGGGGAAGTATATATAGTCTTGCTGTAATTCTCATTTTCCTCTACCAACCTTGAAACCCGAGCAAGTAACACAGAGTTTGGAGTACTCTTTCCCTGGAAAACTCGCATATTACTATCAAGCCAAATACCCCACATGAGATAAATGCCCCGTATTTTTTTCTCAGACTGATTTTCTCTCCAGCTCTCCACCATATTGCGAGCAGTATCCATCTTTTCCAGTTTACGCATATTGCATTAATCAAGTTCTGACCAGAGTCCCTGTACTCTTTCACATTAAAAAAGGCATGTCTCCAGCTTTCCTCTTCTTTGTCACTCCACGGGCAAATTGCATCTTCTGTCAAATGTCTGAATTTGAGCAGGCTTAGAACAGGGAGGGGCTCAGTACAGAATCTACAAAGGAGATTTTTAGCCTTAGGTTGTACATTAAATTTCTAGATATCGACCCAGGCATGATGAAAAGGATCAAGGTCACAGCCCTTGCCAAGCATATATGCTGATTTCACAGTATACTCTCCGTTTTTCGAAAATGCCCAGGTCAATTCATCCTTAAAGCAGCTCTCTTTCAAAGGAATGGACAATATACATTTCAAGTCTCTGTCATTAAAGTGTGCATTAATCACATCATGATCCCCCTCCCCAGTATCCGAATTTATAATCTCACTGACTCTTGTGATCTGCTCGGACTAGTTGCTTGTTGTAAATTGGCCTTCATCATCGACAAGCCAAGGGTCAGACCAGGTGTTTATATTCTGTCCTTTGCCCACCCTCCAAATCAAGCCCTCTTTCACAAGTGATTTTGAACTCCAAATGCTTCTCCACGAGTAACTACTCCAAATAAAGTATGTGGGAATGGCTTGAATGACTACTTTTAGAATAATTTCCTTCCCAGCTTAAGAGAGCAATTCTTCCTTCCAACCTTGTAATTTTTTTCCACACTTGATCAAGAAGCCTCGAAAACAGCTTTTTTGTTTTTTTATTCTCCCAGAACATTAGGAATACCAAGGCACTTCTCATGCCTATCAACATATCTCATATTAAGAATACTCAAGATTTCCTCCCTTTGCTCTTCCCGTACTCCTCTGCTAAAGGACACTTTTGATTTCTCATAATTGATTTTTTTGCCCCAAAGCTGCTTCATACTGGTTGAGTATATCAATTAAGACTGAGCACTCCGTTTGGTTGGCCCTAGTAAAGAGAAGACTGTCATCCGCAAAAAGAAGGTGAGACACCCCCGACCCATTCTTGCTAGCCTTGGCGCCATGGATCACCCTATCTCAACCCACTAGACGTAGTCATAGAACCATCAACTTCACCATTGATAATGAAAGAGTATCTAACCGAGTTCACCAAAGACATCACTGTGTTCACCCACCTCCAATCAAAACCCATTTTCAGCAAAAGTTATCTCAAGAAACCCTACTCCACTCTATCATACGCCTTACTCATATCGAGCTTCATAGCAAAAAAGCCCTTCCTCCCTTTGCTTCTAGTTTTCATGGTATGAAAGAGTTCCTTCGCAATTAAAGCATTATCAATTATTAGTCTGCGTGGAACAAAAGTGCTTTGGTGTTCCGAGATAATATCACAAAGAATATCTTTCAATCTCCAAACTAAGCACTTAGATATGAGTTTATAAATCAATTGCAGAGACTAATTGGACGGAAATCAACAGGAATTTGGGGATCTTTAATTTTAGGGATCAAAGCAATATTAGTACAATTAATATGCTCAGAAAGAGAGTTACCATTCAAGAGTCCACAAACAAAGCTCGCCACATCATCACCTACAATGTGCCAAAAACGTTGATAAAACACCGTGTGCATGCCATCCAGTCTCGGTGCCTTACTAGGATGCATATGTTTTAGGGCCACAAGAACTTTATCTTTGGTATAAGGACGTAGCAGCCTTGCATTCATGTCGTTGATCACAGTTGCATTAACACATTTCATGACTGGATCAAAATCCTAAGAATCAGGATTTGAGGACGTGAAATTTCCCTTGAAGTGTGCACTCATATCTCAAGAAAATCTTCTTCTTCATCGTGCCAAACTCTAAGGTTATTACGCAGACCTTTAATGGTATTTCTTTGTTGCCTTTGAGAGGCCTTATGATGGAAATAAGGAGTGTTTTTATCTCTATCCTTGACCTCAGTTACTCTCAATCTTAGATACCAGTAGGCTTCACGTTTCTTATTCAAGTCATCCAACAATTTCTCCAGCCTCACACTCTCTTCGCAAGTCTCCAGATTAATTGGCAGCCTTGAATTTTCTTGAGGGTAGCTTCTGTCTGAGCAATTTGTTTACCAAGGTTGTTGCAAAGTTCCCTTGCTCATTTGGCTAATTGTCTACTCACAGCCGAAACCTTAGCCAGCACACCACCCCTACCAACTTCACCCCACGCAGCTCGAACCACCTCTTTACAGCCTTCCTCGAGCAACCAACAAGTTTCAAACTTGTACTCTTTATTTTTCTTTTATGTTTTTTTTCGGCACACAAGCAACCAGAATCGGAGTATGATTCGAATTGTATCTCAAGAGATGCTCCATAGTTCTTCACAGAACATCAAACACCAAGAAACCGACCCAAAGAATCGGTCTAATCTCTCTTGAACACAGGTTTTGGGGGTTCTCCCTATTTCCCAAGTATACCAGATCCTAGTGTAGCCCAAATCTCGCAATTCACACTCGTCCACCACTTCCCTGAAATTTTCAAGCTCTCTTCTTTCTCCCTCTGCCCCTCCCTTCCTTCCTCATAGGTGAGAATCTCATTAAAGTCCCTCCCTAAAAAGAGCCCCCACCATGGTAAGGAATTGCCAGAACTAGAACCAAAAGAGCCCCACCTGTTGAAACACAATTCCAACAACTAACACAAGCTTCACAATCTACCCCACACACATCCAAACCAAAAAAAAAAGAAAAGTAAACCAAACACTGCTACAAAAACAGGCAAAGAGACCCGTCTAAATCTATCTTAGAGACCACTCTTGGACGTGTCTCTTTCTTAGGGGTCTGTTTAATAAAGAGACCCTTCCAAGTGAGATGGTCTGTTTGAAAAAAGAAAAGACCCGTTGCTTAAGAGATGGGGTCTGTTAGGTTGTTAAAGTGAATTAAAACTAAACATTGAAAGAGACCCGTTATTATAGAAATGGGGTCTGTTTGTTAGATGAAAAAGACCTGTCATTAAAGAAGCGAGGTCTGTTTGTAAAATATAAGAGACCCCATATTATAGATAGAGGGTCTCTAACATCTCTGGTTTTTTGAAAATAAATTTGGTTCCGAGGGCGTTTATTTTTTGTTATTTTGAATTTGAAATTTGAAATTTTATGCTCCATTAATATTGGCGGAATTGTAACTAGATTAAAATTGGTGAAATTTGATATACGTGAAAAAAAAATTATAAGAATCATAAACTAATTAAATTTCATTTACAAACTAATTAAAATTTACAAGTATAGATTTAGTGAAATTGAAATCTACAAGGTTAAACTAACTTAAATCAAAATTAATAAGCTAAGTAGAGCATTAACTAATAAATTTTTGGTGGATGTCAATTTGTAGTCTTCATTCCTCAGCTCGATAAATCAAAATTCATCATTGTAATCTGCAATGCAATTTCATTTAAATGTTAGTGCATGCATACAATGAAACAAATTAAACCCAATTATACAGTACATGCATACCAAATTCATTCATTAAAAAGAATCACTCAATAAAGAAAATAATTATGTTAAAAAATGCGAATTAAAATGCATAATCACTTCACTTTATCAATTTGAGCTCCAATTGACTTTTGGCCATTTTAATTAATCTTGATGTATCAAAGAAATTCAACCAAAGAAATTCAATTAAAAAAATCCCAAAAAACCATAAGGGCAAAAGAGAGAAATTAAAACATAGAATAGGGATATTAGTGAAAAAACAAACCAAACAGATTTAGCAACAAACGAATTAAACTAATAGTCTATTAACAAAAATAAAACCAAACGCTAAATCTCCTCTAACGAACTAAATTCCTTTTCACCATTACAAGCCTAATCTAGAAATTTACTCAAACAAAAAAAAAAGTATGAAATTCAGTAAATGAATTAGCAATTAAATTAAAAAATAATAATAAAATTAAAGAGTAGTTGTATAGTTTACCAGTTTCTACTTGAATCCATGTTGACAAAATCTATTTAGATCTAAAACAAATAAAAAAATTTAGACTAGTCGCTACTATTGTCGGCATGACAACAACAACCAGACTGCGTTTCCCCTCTCAAAATGTTCGGACCTTATCTAAAAAAACTCCGAATCTTGAACAGATCTTCATTCTGGTAGTGCCAAGGGCAAACACTCTCTAGCAAAAATAAGTTACAGTGATGAAGTCGGTGGCAATTATAATATGATAGAATAATGAAGATGATTTCAATATATGAGCTTTAAGATGATAGAATAATGAAGATGATTTCATTTTGGTAGTGCTGAGGGAAATTGAAATGTTTTTAGGTGACATTGGTAAAGATGATATAATAATGAAGATGATTTCAATATATGAGCTTAAAAGAAGAGGGGAATTGATAACAAAGAATTTAGAGAGAGAAGGGAAGAGATAAATGACTTCAGAAAATTGAGGAAATAAAATCTCGAAGTACAAGATAATTAAAGAAGGTAAGAGACGGTTTCAAAGAAAAAAAAAGGTAAGAGACCCGTTTAGTCTAGAAAGGGGTCTCTTATCTATTATTGTATTTTCCGACCATAAAGTTGTGGGCCCTAATGCATTTTAAAGACCTATCAGGTTTAGCAACGAGTCTCTTATCTCTCCTCTGATAAAAGTGGTGGGGCCTATTGCACATTAGAGACTCGTTATCCCTAATATAAGATCTCGTACATCAAACAGACCTATAATTAAGATGATGGGTCTTTTTTTAGGGGTCCTTTTTCTAGATTTTGTAGTAGTGAAAAAGGGGACCACCAACTGTACTAACTTAAGTTAGGTCAAAACCTAGAACAAAAAAAGCCACTGCCCCACCGTTGATTATAAAAGAACCAAGCATTCTTGACTAGCAGCAGCCCATAAAAGAAATATGCCATATCTACCAAACAAAAAACTGCCCCAAGTTCACCCCTTCTTTCCTATACTACAAAATATTTAGATCTAGGTCTAGGAAAGCACCCAACTCCACAAAAAACCCCCAAAAAATGACCTATTAATGTGGTAAAAGCAACCAGGGTGCTAGATGACTATGAGTGGCTTGATAACAGGCTTGATAGTCCTCTAAGGCTTAATGAGCTTTTGTATGGGTATATTAGTGATGAAAGTGAGGGAGAGGACCCCCCTTAATTATGCAGTAGATAAATGGAAAGGTGTGTTAGTGGAGAGTAGTAAGAAGGGGAAGACTGTTAGTGAAGGCAACTTCTTTAAGGGAGTTTATACTGATGATGAGTAAATTGATGGAGATGATGATGAGTTGGAAGAAGAGGGTTTTATAGGGGGGTTGGATGGTTTAGATGCAGAGTTAGAATCGAGGTTTGCTAAAAGGGATGACTTCGGCGGAAAATGCATAAAGAGTTGTCCTTTTAAGGTGTATGCTTCTTGGCATACTGGGAAGGCTGCATAGCTAGTCAAAAAAGTGTGTAATAAGCACACATGTCAAAAAAAACATGAAAAGAATAGGCAGTTGAAAGCCAGATGGGTGGCTCAACTGTTTATTTATGTGTTCAAAACTAGACTCCATTGGTCTGCCAAGGAGATTATAGAGTGCATTAAGAGGGCTTACAAGATTTTATAGTGACTAGGGTTCTTACATACAAGCTAAAGTATGCAGCACACTAACTTCTTCATGGGAGTATGTTTGAGTATTACCGGAAGGTGTGAGGTTACCTGCCTTGCCTTGTTTGCAATAGAGCTGCCTTGGAAGTCACACTGAGTTAGTCATAGTAAAGGGAAAGACTCCTCCACAAGTGTTTTAGAGATTTTTCATCTGTTTTGAGGGCCTAGCTAAAGGGTGGAAGGAAGGTTGTAGAAAGGTCTTAGCTATGGATTCTTGTTTTCTAAAGACTTTCTTGGGTGGCTAGCTTATTTGTGATGTGGGAAGGGATGTAAATGATCAAATGTATCATGTAGCTTGGGTTGTCGTAGAGGGAGAAAACACCTTGAGCTAGGAATGGTTCTTCAAACATCTTCAAGTATGCCTAGACTTGGGTGAAGGAGATGGAGCTGGTATCATTTCTAATGAGCACCAAGTATGTAAAATACTTGTGTTTTACTAATAATCTGCCATGATCTAAATGCTTTTGATTATAATGCTTGATGTTATTTGTTGGTGTGTTTACTTTAAATGTGATAGGCTATCCTAAATGTTATGTCAACTATTCAGCCAAAAGCAGAACATAGGAATTGTGCCAGGCATGTCTTACATAAAGGAGATGAGTTCAAATTGCAATTTTGGAAAATTGCCAAGTGTTACAATAAGGCAAACTATGATGATGCTTTGAAAAAGTTGATTGAAATGAACATTGATGCAGTAGAGGCTTTCAAGCAGTACAACCTACCCTCCTCTTGTAGAGCTTGCCTTAAAACTGAAACCAAGACAGATGCCATCACCTCTAACATTGTTAAAATCTTCAATGGTTACATTATTCAAGATAGAACCAAGCATCTTTTATACATGATTGAATAGATCAGGTTTGGTCTCATGCAAAGGCTTGTGAAGAAGAGGGAAGAAATGCTCAAGTCCAATTCTATTCTTTACCCCATAATACAGTCAAAGTTGAACAAGAATAAAGATAAGGCTGCATACTATGAGGTCTTCCCTTCTCCAGAGACTCTCTTTAATGTCTCCTACCGCGTCGCCTTGATTAGGTAGTAGTGAATTTGAAAGCAAAAACTTGTACCTGCAGGATATATGCTAGGCATTCCATGTTGTCATGCATGTGCTACCATCTTCTTTTTAAACAAAGAAGCTAAAGAGTTTATTAGAGATAATTATTTTAAAGCATATGCAGGTATACTATCTTTCCCTCCCTATATTTGTTTCACATGTATTATATGTGGTTAATTAGTTATTTTGTGTATCATATGTGTTTAATTTACACATGTGACAAGATCAATTATAGCCTTAGATGGTGAAAGATATTGTCCTAAAATTTTCAGCCCCCTAGACCTACCTCCCATTAAAATTGGTCTAAGGAGGCTAAGAAAGAAAAGGGCTAGGGACCCCTTTGAGTACCCTAAGAAACCAGGATTTTTAACTAAGCCTGGTATTGAAATGTCTTGCTATGTCTGTAAAGCCAAACAACATAACAAGAAGATATGCCCATATAAGGATAATGCAGATACCACAATTGAACCACCCTAGAAAAAGGCTATGGGAAGGCCTAGGAAAGAGGGCAACCCAGTCCAAACCACTTTGGCTGCAACCCAGAGTGCACCTGTTGAACACCAGGATATCTCTACACAACCCACACTGCTAGGAAGAGGAGGAAGATAAATTAGAGGTGGAAAAGGTGCAAGAGGAGGACAACATTCAGCAGCCACTTCCAGTGCAGGATAGTCTTGATGAGTGTCATTTATGGCACTCATTTAGCTTCTTTTAGGATTATTTTACATGACTTTTGTATTCCTTTAACTCCATTTTCTCTAGTTTTGCTTACATTTTCTTTACTTTGCCTTTTCCTTAGAAGTTTTCTTATTTTCTTGTTTTTCAAGTGTATTCTGCATTTTCTTCTTTACTTGCTTGATTTTCTTTGTTTATAGGAAGTTGATGATGTTCGAGAGTCTCAAGTGTGTTCCCCTCGGAGTTTTCAAGTCAAAAGAGATGTCCCGTTTCTCCATTTGAAGTCCAAGAGCAAAGGAATTCAAGAGTTTATTCATCAAGGTTGTGCTTTCATGCCGTGTGGGCATGAAGGAGTGGTGTCGAACCCACCAAGAGTGATCAAACTTAATACCTATAGCATCATGGCTCATCTCGATCTCAGAAAGACAAGCTCGGCTGCGCGGCCGCGCGCGACCTTGGAGCGGCCGCACCCCTTCTTCTCCCTGTTCCGTACCCTTTTTTGTAGCGGCCGCGCATGGAAAAGAGGGACCGCGCTCTTTGATGTCCTTTTTGGAACGTCTAACTAACTTCCCTTTAGTTAGTTTAACTATATACAGTTTTTCTTAATTTTAGAGAGGGAATTAATTAGAAAATAGATTAGATTAGATTATTGAGAAAATTTTAGAGAGAAGCTCTAGATTTTATTGATTGTTCTAGATATTTAGAGAAAGAAACTTGATGATGTTGATGAATGCTATTTCAAATCTTCTTATTCTTTATATATAATGCAATTTGATGTTTGATGTTTTATTTTTGAATTTAGTTGAATTACTTGTTGTTTAGTTAATTAGATTTTGATAAATTTGAGCATATTTTGATTACTTTGATGATGATGAAATTTGTGATTGATTTAGCTTTCTTGTTTGAATTTTCAATGAGTAGTGAGTAGTTTTCTTGTTAGGGGTAGGGTGAAGCATGAACATGTGATATTTCATGATTAATTGGGGGAATTTGATTAATCATCATTGTGATTACATTGGTTAGTGAAATTTGTGCATGTGTTTGATAACTTGAGGAGTGATTAACCTCAACTATCGTGCTAGATTGCATATTAGGTTTTATTGACACAAACAATTGATTTGGAATATATTATTATCGATTAAGCTTAATTCGTGATTTTCCTATTGGAGTCTTTTGTAGAGACATCTAGCTTGACCCTAGGAAATAGCCTTTTGAGTGATTTTGATTGAATTTCTTGCTTTCCTTCGCGTTGCATGATTGATCGATTTCCTTCCCAATAGCATGTATATCGAGAGTTCATGTGAATCCCGATTCCCTATCATCCTTTATACTTTTCTTGTAGTTGTTCGATTGAATTGATTCAACGTAGTATAGACCAACCCACTCTCTAGCTTTCGGAATAGCTTAGCATCGACCTTAGCACTCCCTCCTTCCCTTGGGATTCGACCTAGAGTTACCCTATACCTCGGGTTGGTTTAGATTTATAAATATTGTTTTAGCCGGGAAATCTAGATCCCAACGACCTAGGATTACCCTGTGTCAAAAATGGGAAGGCATGGTGATTTCTATTTTTGCTTGAGTCTATTCCATTTATTTGAAAAATACAGAAATATTTTCTTTCTTTTAGGCAACATTTGTAGCTGTGCTACTAATTGTTTCTTTAGAGATTGTATGTATAGAGCACGTGGTTGTTCTATATTGCCAGTTGAAGCATGGGAGAAAATTCAAGAGTGGCATTAAAGGAACTAGGAGTTCCAAGAGCCTATAGGTATGAGAGCGGGATTGCTCTACCTACGATACCTGCAAATGATTTCGAGATAAGACCGGGCATGATTACTTTGATTGAGAGGCGACAATATAGTGGTGCAAAGCATGAGATCCCTCTCTACCACCTTAAGGAATTTAAGAATTATTGCAATACAATTAAGGTGAACAGGGTTTCTCAAGAATTCATCGGGCGTGCTTTAGAATGGTTAGACAAGGAGGTGAAGCCAAATTCTTTGACAACTTGGGATGAAGTTACACAGGAATTCTTATACCGCTTCTATCCACAAAAGAAGACGGCCGAGGCGAGAGCCCTCATTCAAGGTTTCAAGTAAAAGCCGAGCGATAATCTTTATGAGGCGTGGGAAAGGTACAAGGAGGACCAAAGAGAATGCCTTCATCATGGGATTCCAACTTACCAAGTCATTCAAATTTTCTATGGAGGTTTGAGTCCTTAAGGTAAGTCCTGCTTCGATGCTGGTGCCGGAGGCCATATCATAAATAAAACGGAGGATGAAGTAGTGGATGTCATTGAAGATGTGGCTAGACACTACATGGATAGGAAAGAGGGGGAGAAAGAGTTGAAAAGCAAAGGAGGTGTTTCAGTGTATTCGGTTGACCACATTAATGCCATGAACAGCTTCTCTTTGCAAATCTCGGAACTAGGAACGAAAATGATCACAATCAATGCCAAGCTTGATAGTGCTTCTTCTAAAGCAACGGTTCATCCCTCCGAAAATAAGGGGAGAGGTACATTTCCCAACTCAAATCCCCTTCCCTCTTCTAGCAACATGTCCAGTGGTTGTATGTATTGTGATTTGTGTAAATCATATGACCATGATGCTTTTAGTTGTTGTAGACACCCATTTGTATCTCCCCAAAATCAAACCCAGTGATGAGTACCTTTCACGTTGAATCATAATCGAATGAAGTGAAAGTATGGAAAGTCTAGTGTTGCGGATAGTTTTTATTTCTTTTCTTTCTCTCTGTTTTTTGAAAACCTATTTTTAAGAAAACAGCCAATCCGGTTTGGTTTGGTCCATGGCAAGGGTCCAATAATAGTGTAGTTGGGTTGGGTTCGAAAAGAGCTTTCCAACGATATATTATAAGCCTAATTCCGATGAATAATGAGGAAGTTATGACCAAATTACTAAACTGGGCCCGGTTTGATCTTTATGTGCGGCCCAATGATCTAGAAGGTTCTTTTGAATCCTTATTTAATTAGCATTGATAAATTGACTTTAGTTGACTTTTTAAGATTTTTAATCAGAATAAAAGAAGTGTTTTAAGGAAAATACGATTTTATCCTCTCGTACGGTTAGCTTTTATCAAAATAAGAAAACGCGTGGAAATTTATTTCCAGCGTCTGGCGACGGGACCAGCGCTGGTGACAGACATGGCGTCTTGCGCCAGACCTGGCGTTTGGCGCTGCACTCCAGCGTTTGGCGACAGGCGCGTGTTGTAGGGTTTTATAGGTACTACGCAGCGGAAATAGTATGAATCATATTCAAACAAGTACCAATCCCAAGAATCACATGCATAACACACAAGACACATAATCATACCTTTGACGCGTGAATTCCACGAAACTATTCGACAGGCAAATCAGGGAGAGAATAGAGCCCCAAGCGTTGCTCCTCTACTTAGTCCACGAGATTCGAACGAGCCATCCACCAATACTAGATTGGTCAAGTGATTGAGGAAAACCGCGATCACCACCTTTATGGACAACCGACCACCGCACAAACCACCACCACCACAACACACCACCAGCGCCGCTAGGAAGAGGAGAGATCCGTGTGAGAGAGAGGACTTTGAGAGGGGTTGGGTTTTGTGTTTGCTAATTCGGGTTTGATCACACTAATCAATTAATTGCATCTACACTCTGCAAACCTAGGCACCTAGTCTATTTATAATCTCATTATAATTAGACTAGGGCACGAAGCCCAAAACTCTCATATAATCCCCATATGGCCGGCCACCTAGAGTGATGAGGCCCATGATGGGCCTCGTCCTCTAATGCTCGATCTAGCCCCTTTGTGTGACCTTATAGGATCCGTCCAATTGGGCTTTGGGCTATTTTACTAGTCCAAAGATCGTTAGTACCTCTAGCTATGGCAAAACGACGACCCAAATGTACGAACTTAATTATCTCCATAATTTGATCCATTTATATATATCAAGTAATTGCACACGACGAAGACATAACTCCTTCACGTGTTTGGCAATGCGGTCGTGTTTTACTCTTTTCGAAACTCTTGTTCTTTTTTTTATCATATCCGGTTTATTTTCTTTATAAATAGCCTCCTAAAATTCTGTTTTCAATCATCAATTCTTATTCTCTAATTAATTTTCTTCTCTCTCTAAGCTAAAGCTTATTCTCTCCCTCTCTCTCTTTTCTAAACTAGCTTTTTGCATACAAATTTCCGCATTCACAAGATCTAGAAACACCTATCCAAGTTCGAAGTTGCCTTTGCCCTAAACGTGAAAAGTTTTAATTTCTGAGGGTTTGGTCCCAAATCCCTATTTCAATTATTTAATTTAATTGTTTGTTTTATGTTTTCCTTGAAGTTACTAACGCATGTATTTTGTTATTAGAAAGAGGTATGAGGCATCCAAATAAGTGCTTTAATTGATTTATTGATATTATGATATAGAAATCATGTCTAGGTTGTTATCATGATTCCTAGTGTCATGTTAGGGTGTTTTGATTCTTAGTACCATGTTTAGGGTAACAACTATAATTTCTAATATCAAATATGACAATTGTGATTCCTGCAATGCTTTCTATTTTCTCTTTCCTAATATTCATGTTAGTATCATGTTAGGTTTGAAGCTTTGATTTTTATTGTTTAGTGACAAGCTAGGGTTTGTTATTAATCTTGTTAGTATCATGCCTAGGATCTTCCTATTAATATTATGCTTTAACATGATTATGATTATTTATTATGGTGATGATTCATGATTATTTTTATTATTATGATTATGACGTTGCTTGATTATATTTGTTATAGCTTGATCACGCCTTTATGCATGTTTAAAGAGAATTGGTACTTGTAATCATGCTTAATAAGATAATTAATAATCTTGTTTAGGGTTAATTTGATTATAATTCAAGTGATCGCCAATAATAGATTTATTTGTGCATTAATATTCAACCAACATAGATTAAACAGGTTTAGGGTTAATACTATTGATTGCATCATAGTCAGAAAGCGCACATGAATACGAGAAGAATAAAGTAGAGGACTATTATTAGGGCAGGTTCAATCTCTTTTAGGTTGGATTTGTACCTTCATCCCCGAACTACCAGTCATGGTTCCATACCTATTGGAGTTGACGATCTTCTGGATCGTTAAGGGCTGTAACCTTCACCTCGTGAACGGTTTACAAGTTTCTAAAACTTGTTGGCGACTCTTTTGCTCTAGCTTCTTTCCCTTTGGACGCCACCGTACTTTAGTGTATGATCACAGTGGGGTTTAAGTTTGGGGTAATGCTTGAAATACTCTCTACAGGTTTTGGCGACTCCACTGGGGAGGATTTCTATTTTAATTCCTGAAATTTATTTCGGCAATGATTTAGAATGAGTGGATGAGACTCGAAAAGTTCTAAGTATTTCATGTGCGTAATTTTGATTAACATTATTGTCATATGCATAAAAAATATCTCACTGGAAAGACCATCCGTAATGAGTTAAAAACATAGGATTTTTACACGTAGGAAATTTGAGGAATATCTTTCACAACTAGGATCGAAATAATGCTGCGCGAAACTGGAAAATTTTATCGAGCACAGAAAGATGTTGAGGCATGTAGGAACTAGCGTCAAAAAATAGAGTTTGTCGCCGAGGATTTGACTCTGGCGCCAGGCGACACTCCTGTCGCTAGGCGCTAGAGCCAAATTGCGGCGACGACCTCTGTTCGCTGGCGCCAAGTTCTTCCAATACCGAGCCAGAAATATGTGTTCTAATTTTGACCAACTTTAGCACTTTTTGCTCAATCCTACTTCCTGATTGAGTTTTTCTC